AACAAAAGTACTTTTATTCATAATGACTCGCAAAACCAAATACACTATAAAAGATGCACACGAAATTGCAAAGAAACAAAATGGGTTGTGCCTATCAGATCAATATATCAACTGTATGTTACCATTGCAATGGTGTTGTAATAAAGAACACTTATGACATGCAAATTTTAATCATATAAAAAATTCTAATTCATAGTGTCCATATTGCGTGCGGAATAAACTTCTTACACTTAAGGATGCTAGAGAAATTGTAATAGAACGAAAGGGCCTATGTCTCTCGGATAAATATATCAATTCCCATGCTCCCCTAGAATGGAGTTGTGCTAAAAACCATAAATGAAAAGTAATGTAAAAAATGGAAATTGGTGTCCATGGTGTTCACGTGTAGGCCATCGTACTCTTGAAGACGCAAAACAAGTAGCGCATAATAGAAATGGTGAGTGTCTATCAAAACATTTGTTAATATTTGTTTAACTTTATTATAGCGTTGTATCAATGGACACACATGGTATGCAAATTTAAATCATGTAAAAATACTAATACCTGGTTTCCACATGTGCAGGTAATATTCTGTCTATTATTGAAGAAGCTAAACAAATTACTTATAGTAAAAATGGTAACTGCCTTTCAGAAAAGTATGTCAATTGCCAGGTTCCGTTACAATGGCGTTGTGCTAAAGGGCATGAATGGAGCACAAATTTGAATCATATAAAACATAATAGGTGGTGTCCATTTTGTCGAAATAAATATGAAGATCTGTGTCGAAAAATAATTACCGAGTATTTAAGACCTCATCAAAAATTCAGAAACCTGATTTCTTAAAAACATCATAATATCCATATATTGGTTAGAAGCTTGACACTTATTATCCAGAGCATCTTCGAGAATTGGGTCTCACTGAATATAGTTAAAATTTCAAATTCAGATACATTGTGGATAACCAAAAAGAGCCTTATGAAGTTATAATCAGCATTGTTTTATTTTTTATTATACAATATGTATATCGAAAATACATATTGCTTGATTAATATAAAAGCAAATTATTTAAAAAAAATTTTAAATGATTATATAATGATATCTCCGTCTTTTCTCTTTACACACTTGTTTTTGATATGTTTGACATTTTGTTACTGGCATCATGAAACAACAATGTAACAAGCTTTCCTTCATTATCTATTTCCAGCTCGACACCTTCAACTTCAGTTTTTTTGAACGTGGTGGTCATGGGAACAGAATCTGTAAAATTAATCTTAAATACATCACGTTCCTCATCATAAGTAGGATTGAGTGTAAAGGATGGTTCCTTGTTTGCTATCCCTCGGATATGCTCTGATGGTGAATCTATACGAATTGATACTATTTTGCCAATATTATTAAAACAGACAAGGAGGTAACCAGTTGCTTCATCACAAATGTCTCTGGATTCTTTGGTAAAGTATACCAAAAATGCATCTGAATCGTCATAGTATACGGAATCCACAATAAACCTTTTAAATATATACTACATTAAATAAAAATAGCAAGATTCAGATTTAATATAAAATTTGAATAACAGATATTGCAAACCTGTCTTTACAATCAGGATCATGCTCATTATGTTTGGCCGAAAATTCTTTTTTATTCTGATAAATATTAATAATCAGATGTAAGCAAGTAAATAAGAAAATAAATAGAAGCCTTTAAACTTGATTTAATTTCATACTTTTTTGTTCAGTTTAATTTTGTTGAAAAATTTTCTATAGGTAAATTTGGTTAATATATATATATATATACATATGTACAAATAAAAAAAGTTCAAAATAGTTGTTAGCTTACTTAATTGGATTAATAAACATCTTTATCCCAGTATCGATGGGCGGATGAAGTATAAAAAGTGATTAATTATTGTCCAGTAATTATCTTCTTCGCCTATAACTACTCGAAAAACTTGATTGCTATCAGGTATTTTCTGTTGAATAATGAAACGACCGGGTTTTACACTCCTACAACGTTGAGTTGAGGTATCACCGTTTCTATATGCAATTAATATTCCTTCGATATGATTTGGTTGAAATAATCTTTCAATATACGTATGAATTTTTGCTTCTTTTGATCAGTTAAATTGTAAGAATGAATTTTCAAGAACTATTGACCACAACCTGTAATTAAGATTGAGATTACTCATTCAAGTAAGAGCCTGTAAGATCTTTCTCTTATTTAATCATGTTATGTAATGATCAGTCATATGAAAGGATGAGGTAATAAGATAGTAATTAATTAATTATAATGCAAATAAACAAAATCGGCAATAATAACTATATTTTTTATTACTTAATAAATTAATAATTACTGAACTCTGAAACCTGCTGCTTTAGAAAAAACATCTACTCCTAGATCAATATATGGGAGCCATACAAATCCTAAATCTGCTTCTGATTTTTTGGATATATAGCTTCTGTAATAAAAAAAAATCACTTTTTGAAGAATTGAACTCCTCAATATAATGATTGATGAAGCCAACTGTATTGATAATAATAAATATTTAGCAATTGTGGGAAAATATACTAATAATATTCCTTGTATGAGATATTTAGGCATGATTAATCTAGAATCTACCACTGTAGAAAATATTTATAACCAAATCTTATCATTTTGTAAATATCATATCACAAAATGATTCATTTTGGAAGTGATGAGGCTTCCAATATGACAGGAAATAAAAGCGGTATTGCTACAGGCTAAAAAAAATCAATCCTTTGATGGTTGTCATTATCAAATTTTGTACATAATTTACATCAAATCATGGATTCAGTGCTTGCTGTTTTAAATGATGATTTGTTAGAAGGTGATGAGCATGCAAATGTTTTGCTTGGGCAATTGGATCAAGATTTCATTTCTGCAACAATAATTTAAATCTATATGATCAGAGTGAGATAGAGTTTTTAGATAAATTTTATGGAGATACTAAATTGGTGAATTTTGTGAAATTATTGAAAAAGGAAAATTCATAGAAGAGTGGAACTCTCTAAAATTCTATTTGTGTCCCTATAAAAATACAGAAATGTATTTTATTCAATTGTGGAAACAGATGAAAATTTTTATTTCAATTATCCAAATTTAACAATTATTGTTAAAATAACACTCCTTATACCTTTTTCAATGCACATGTTGAAATAATATTTTCACAAACAAATCTGATAAAAAACAAATTGAGAAACTGAATGCATGTAGATACATTGAATAGTCAATTAATGATTTTACTAAATGGTCCAGATTAGTGATATCAGCCGTTAAAAAAACCTTAGCCGGCTAAGCCGGCTAGCCGTCAAGCCACTATAAAATTTTTTATC